TGGCTGTCGCAACCAGTGTCTCTGTCTAGGCCAGTGGTGGGTCTCATATTGAGGTACAGAGAATGGGTCCTTCCGCATTGCAGATTCCCTCCAAGATGATGGGGTGAATGTGGTGGGCAGAACTGGGGCTTCTTCTTCCCTCTCATGCACTTTCAGGTGGGACATAGAGCATCCCAATGCTCAAAAAACAAAGATCCCAGCAACTGAATTTCAGCCTGTGGTTCAAGGTCATGAGTAAAGCTACACATATCATAGCCTTTTGGCACTTGTGAAACCTGTGGTAAATTTGTGAAATCAAATGATATGCCTCATATCCATTGTTTTCGGTGCAGGTGGGACATAGAGCATCTCAATGTACACATGTGTAAATCTATACATATCATGCACATTGACACTTATGAAACCTATAGATAATTTGTGAAATTAACATACTGTATATATTTTAATTACTTAATAAAAATAATTAAAATTGTGTCAGGAGTCCTAAATAGTGTTATCTTAAAATAAGGAACATTGTGTTCTTAAAATAGGAAAATTTGACTTGAAATGTCAAATATATAGATAATTTGTGAAATTAACTTCAATAGCTCATGTTGATTATTTTTTGATTCACTGTTTTGCACTCAAATGCCTTTGCATGTTTCTCATTGGCCCTGTATAGTGGAACTCAGCTGTGGGAGATTCCATTATTCAGTCACTATCAATGTTAGCCCCTTTCCCAGTGCTAACTTTACTCCGGTAACGAACACAGGGGGAGAATATGCAAATGTTGCAGTCTGTCAAAACCCAAGCGAATAAGACGTTAACTCACACCAAGAGCTGCATTATTTTGCTTTTTCACAGTTTACTGGATATAATAATTGAATAAGGTGTGCATGTGTTTTGTAATGTTTTAATAGAGTAAATTCAAAGATTATCTGTGAATGTCCGGCGAATATCAAACCCACTGCTAACTGTACTCCGGTAACGAACACAGGGGGAGAATATGCAAATATCGCAGTCTGTCAAAACCCAAGCGAATAAGACGTTAACTCACACCAGGAGCTGCATTATTTTGCTTTTTCACAGTTTACTGGATATAATAATTGAATAAGGTGTGCATGTGTTTTGTAATGTTTTAATAGAGTAAATTCAAAGATTATCTGTGAATGTCCGGTGAATATCAAACCCACTGCTAACTGTACTCCGGTAACGAACACAGGGGGAGAATATGCAAATTAACA